AATTTTATTAATAAAGAAAGTTTAAATTGGAAAATCATGCTTGAAAATGAAAAGGGAACGGAAATTAACTAGATATTTTCTCTATAAGCACTCTCTTTTGATGTTACACAACGAAGTACACTAAAACATGGTCACTTGCACAAATTCCATGACCAAACATCAAGTATTGCTCTACTGGTACATTGCAATCATTTTAAGAGTTAAACAGTGATCAAAATTGTGAGATTTTTCTTCTAAAAATCTACTGTGAATAAAATCAACGCCTTTTAAAATGCTAGGCGGGGGGTCAATCTATCCATCATTGTTCAACAACTCTTCTTCTCAGTGATAAACAGCGTCCATGAAGCATACAAAAGCTTTACTCTTCATTTTCTTCACTTCTTCCTGTGCTTATTGCGATTAACTTTAACAATCCTACGACCTGACTTGTCACCGCCGCCACCACTGCCCAATGAGAACCCCCCACCAGCATTATGTTCTAGACTGGTTGATGCCTGGAAAGGAGATGGATTTTGCTGAGCAACTTGGTTTGGCTGGCTACCTAATTGAAAGGGAATGGCTTGTGATGTACTTGCCAACCCAAACATTACTGCCGGTGGAGAAGGTGAGGCGGATGGTTGACCAGATACAGGAAGAGAAGGTGACTGCACTGAATCCTCAATCATACTGTCTTCAGTGTTTATTTGATTGTGGTTTGCAAAGGGAGAAGAGGGATTCCCAAATACAGGCGAGGAAGCTGCAGCAGGGGCTGCAGAAAATGAGAAAACTTTCAGGCTTGAAGAGGAACCAGAAGACGAATTCAATACCATTGGAGCAGCGTTAGTAGCAAAGGAAGAGGAGGATGCACCAAAGGAGAATCCAGTCAATGAAGTCGAAGTAGTAAACATTGAGGAAGCCAAAGAATTTCCACCAAATTTAAATATACCAGAAGTACTGGTGCTGTTGGAAGCAGCATTGGTCCCTGGATTATAAGTTGAAGAACTGCCACTAAAACTGAATATGCCAGAAGAGGCACCACTGCTAGAACCAACGGTGTTGGTCCCAGAAGAGGAGGAACTGGGGCCAAAACTAGATAAGCCAGTCGCACCGCTGCTAGAGCTAACTACATTGACACCTGAAGAACTTCCAACAAATTTGAACAGACTAGATGTTGGCCCATTTCCAGAGCCAATTCCATTGGTCGCTGATGAGGGAACCAAACTTGAACTAAAACCCAAAGTACCATTTGGACTTAATGCTTGGGAACTGAAAGAGGATGAAACTAAAGAAGTGCTACTAGAGATATTGAAGGACGATAATGATGCATATGTACCAGACTGAATGGGTGTGCTCTGTGAGACAATTCCAACGGAGGATGTTAAAAATCCACTTGCTGCACCAAGAAGACTTTGAGACTGACCATTTGCCATTGAAGACGCAAGTGAAGAACCAAGTCGAAAAGTGTTACTTCCAGAGCTTGCTGCAAATGATGAAATGCTAGAGTTTATATTAATTAAGCCGCCAAAAACAGAACTGCTCTCTGCTTTGGATTGGAAAACTGTTGGTTCTGATGCATTGGTAGTTGATGATGCTAAAACAGCAGTGGATTGATCTTCAGAAATACCAAACTTAATAAGGGGTGAAGGTGACAAATTTGACCCAAAATGACAGCTACTGGAGGCAGCAGTGAAACTGGGCATGAAGTTTGCAATGCTGGTAGACGGAGCATACGAAAATGCAGGAGGGCTAGAAACAAATGATCCATTTGATGCAACAGAAGGAACAGTTTCATATTTTCCAAATGTGCTGCCATCCTTTTGTGTATTCTGATCACCACCTTCGTTTGGCTTGGCAATTATTTGCTGACCGCCAAGTGCATGAGAAAGAACATTTACCGAGCTGCACATGCTGTTTACATTTCAAGAATGTTATGATAGTTAATATAAAAATAGATTAAAACATGTAGGTTTAAGAAATAAAGATAATTTCTTTTGCACTAGTTCTTACTGTTCGATGAATTTTGAGATCAGGGTTCTATATGCAAAATGTTATATGGATTCACGTTTTTTTTTTTTTTTTTTTTTTTTTTTTTTTTTTTTTTTTT